CCCCAAAACCCCAAAACCCCAAAACCCCAAAACCCCTCTGGTTCTCTATATTTTATAATTTTTAAATTATGGACAAGGAATTTCATCTAGTAGAAGACCTAGAAGAGCCCCTGCTAGATAAAGAAGAGAACAAGGACGAAGACTTTGAAAGCAAAAGAATACTTATCATGAGCAAAAGAGAGCAGAAAAAGAGAGATATCAATAAGATTGATGAAAATGGACATATCAAGGAGACAGACACTGGGGCGACTCCTCTTAGGTATATGGAAATGGATGATAGGAAGGCCCTTGCCCAGTATAATATGAAATCTTCTCTCCTACCATATCTCACTTCTCCACATTCTCCTGTTTATAAATTTGCTAAGGTGGTTACTTCTCCAGCTATCTATATTCAGAAATAAAATTAGACCTGGAGGTATCAAAGGATCGATTTTCAATCTCATATGTGGGGTTCTTGGAACAGGAATGCTTACTCTTCCTGTGGTATGCCTCCAAAATGGAATTTTATTAGGCTCAGCTCTGATAGTAGCAGGAGTCCTCCTAACCGCATTCTGCGGAATGTGAATCGTAGTATGCTCCGAAAAGACTCAAACAGATAGTCTTGAATTTATAGCGCATATTGCATTTGGACATACCATTGGGAGAATAACATCTTACTCCATGATAATGTGCCAACTGGGCTTTGTTACTTCTTACATCATTGTCGTAAAAACTTTGATTCCGTCTATAATAAAAAGACTGATGGATGGTGCTTTGCCTTCTGTCCTGAGCAATGATAAATTTGTTCAGATTTCCATCGCCACTATCTACAGCTTGCTATTTTTGTTACCATTATCCCTTCCTAGAAAAATGGGTGCTCTAAGATTCACCTCGCTCTTCGGGTTTGCATGCTGTATTTTCCTTGTCATTGTAATCTGCTGAATATTTTTCTTCGACAAAGCCGTTGTCCCAGATCCACTTGATAATATTACTGAAGCAAATTATCTTGATTTCTCATTCGCTAGTTTGTTCACAAGTTTTCCGTTCATCATTTCTTCATATATGTACCAGCCTATGATACCTGCAATTTATAAAAATCTAGAGAACCGGAACATGCAGAGAATGGAAAAGGTAGTCTATATTGGGTCCTTTGGAGCAGTCTTTCTGTACATCCTCATTTCTGTCTTTGGTTATCTCAGCTTTTCCACGAATCCAGAGCAACTGGAGATTTTAAGAGTCAAACAAAATATATTGGAGCTAGACTTCAAGCATAATGTATACTTTGAAGCATCAATCATATGTCTTGTGGTAACTATCATGAGTGCTGGACCCTTATGAATGTTACCAGTCAAAGACTGTGTTGAGGACCTCATATACAAGAATGAAATAATGACAGATTCACAAAACGTCATGGTGACATTACTATTAACAGGAATCTGTTATGCCGCAGCTATTGTAATACCGAGCATCGGAGATGTCCTGTCAATCTTAGGATTGTCCTGAAATCCCTACGTTGGGTTCTTTCTCCCAATACTATGATACCTCAAGCTAGAGGATAACAAGCCTATTTATATGATGCTAGCAGCTATACTGATCCTCTTCATTACTGGCTCTTTCTCAATACTTGGGATATATGGCTATGTGACAACAAAAATAATGTAGGTTTCAATTATGTAAAAAATAAGGGGTTTTGGGGTTTTGGGGTTTTGGGGTTTTGGGG